ACGCTATCTGGTGGAAAAATTCAAAATTAGAGTAGATAGGTCGAATTGCTACGCCACGTTCCTGTCAGAGATTTCAATAGGAAATTTATTGAACAATTCTTTTTAAAAATATTTGATATACATCAGTAGAAATATTTTTTCTAAATTTTAGCATAAAAATTGAAACGTAATTATTGAATTAGAATTAGTATTAAAGATAAAAATAAAAATAAAAATAAAAAAGATATGAATAAATATTTGAAATTCGATTGGTATTAGAAATTCCTAGATTCCTCGAAGAAATGTAAAATGACGAAAGGAAAGTTAGTAAGTTTGAACTTTGCATATGTTAAATTCTAAGAGTGTGGCACGCGAGCTGTGACTATAATATGCATTCGGTTACCATTCCCTTGGTGGCCCACGTAGTTGCATTCTTGGCTCGATCTGTGCGCCAAGAGATGTTATTGGAATCTTTGAAATATTCGGCTTTACTCCCATGATCCATCCCACTTTTATGTAAAAGATTGTAAATAAGGTTTTACCTTTGCGAAATGTTTCAAGCGTGCGCGTTTCGAATACGAACGAACATATGGGGGAAAATTAAATACGATCGATGTTTCTACAGAATTTTTTTCTTTTTTCTTTTTTCTTTTTTCTTTTTTTTTTTCAAGGATAACACATTCGATACAAAAATTTATTCATCATTTTTCAAATCGTGTTAACTTATTATTATTTGCCATTAATTTAATTTATTATTATTAGGTTGAGTCTTAAGTAACTTCCGATGCGACTATGTAGAATCTATTTTTCGTATTTACTTACTATAAGTCACCGAAACTAACCGATTTTCGATATCACTGTATAGATGAGAATTCAGTTAATCTTCTGTCAACTTTTTGAAGTAAAAACTTTTTTAGAATGGGTGTCATTTGAAAAAATGTAACGGAGCGGTAAACGGCGGCTATGTAACGGAGCGGTGGGAGGCAATGAAACGGCCAAGATACTAAATAAGAAGAGAATACAATTATCCTACAGCAGATATTTTGTATTCGTCTCATTCTCTCGAAACTTAGTTTTTTGAAGATTTCACTTCTAACACGTGTGATCTGCACACATGGTTCTTTATGTAATCAATGTTACATTTAACCGTTTTTCTTAACCACTGAAATTGGATAGTAAAAAGTGCATATTCGACATGTACTACTTTAAGAATTGAAACAAGGCAATAACAACTAAAGTGGCAATTGAAAAAATATACAGCGTATACAGTGCAGGATTGATAACTGATAGGGCAGTTCAGAAATTGGTTTGTCAAATTCCGTTCTGGAGAATACGATCTTAAAAGATGAACCGAATGCAGGGACGTATTTCCAACTTTGACGAATCTTTTAAAGGTAACATTCAGGACAAAATCCAATAGATATGTTGAATAATTGCAAAGAGTGCAAAAAAAAAAAAAGAGAAAACTCCATAAAAGGTGTCTTGCACTTATCATCAATCGCAGAAACGTCATTCTTTGTCTTCATTAAAAAAACGGAAGTTATTTATGACTCGACCTAATAAATTAGAACAAATTTCGAAAGTGAAAATCTGTAAAAAAAAAAAAATCAAAAATCGTGTCGAGTCAAACACCTAGAGAAAATAGATTTATCGAGTTGAGGATAATTTTCGAATCAATCAATTTGCATTAGAAGAAGAAGAAGAAGAAGAAGAAGAATGATCGAGGTAAAGGTTCATCATTCCCATCGATCATCATTTCGATCGTCATTTCGATCATCTTCTGGGACGTTGAACGTGCGCAACTCGTGAACAAATGGTTAGAAGAAGGTAGTGAATAATATTCCTTAGGTTAAAGGTTACCAGTACGATGAGAAAAGATCAAAGCATACCGACACGTGTGTGTGTGTGTATGATCGGTTTACGATCGAAACATTTCGTCCTTCGATAAATAAAATTCAATATTGCATCTCTTTCTCTTTTCAGTTTCCATGTTGTTGTTTCTTTTTTTCTTTCCCGAATCGAGAAAGGGGACCCGATCGAGTACTCGATTGAATCATTAATTAGTCTCCATCTTTTTTGATTAAGTTTCAAAGTGACAAGGACGAAAGAGAAAGAAAAAGAGAGAGAGAGAGAGAGAGAGAGAAAGGTGAAACGATGGCTCTTTTTTTTTTACCATAAGTTATTTTAATGGAGTATGCCAAAATAGGAAGAACAATTAAAGTGATTGGTGAAAAAATGAATTGGTAGAATTAATTGAAACAATAATAATAATAAATTAAATATTACGAGAGTATTATGTGGTTGTACGATTAAATATATTTAAATAACGATAATAACATTAATAATAATAATAATAATAATACTAATAAAATAAATATTAATTAGGTTTATGTTTGCGAGAATATCAAATTGAATCGATCGTTTTCGATGTATCGAAAATTCTCGTTGCATACTGTGTTTGTTCATAAGAGAAAGAGAAAGAGAATCTTTGGTGTTTGCAAGTGAATGTGCGTGTATGCGTGCATGCGTGCGTTCGTGCGTGCGTGCGTGCGTGGCACGGTGAAAGGTTTTACGAAAGAAGGAAGGAAGGAGAAGAAAAAGAAGAAATAGGAAGGGGGTAGGAGGGGGATGGGAGGAACCCTCTTGGTGGATCGTTGCTCCGCAGTGTGTTCTTTCCCTCCCTTTGAAAAAAAAAAAAAGAAAATAAAAAAAGAAAATGAAACTTGGCTGTCGTTGGTTGTCGTCGTCGTTCGTTGTGTCGGCGGAACACGCGAGTGAAAAGAAAACACGAGGAACGGAGCCGAGTAGGCACATCACCGTTTTAATAATTAATTACCGACGACTAGAACGATTTTCTACGCCGTTACTTTAAGCTCCTTTAGAAACTCAAACCTCATAGAGACCAATAGAATGAGAGAGTAAACACAAATTTCTTTCTCTTTCTTTGTGTAGATTATATTCGAGTTTCTATTTTCTACTGTTGTTCTTTCAATTTTTATTTTTTTATTATTTTATTATTTTATTAGAATTAGTAACAATTTGAAATTTAGTATTGACAAATAGAATATCTTATGTCTTATATATATATATATATATATATTATATATGGTAATAATATTATTATTAATAATTGGCATTAGTAACTTGAAAGTTAATTGCTGCAAATATCAAATCCCGCCAGTGTTCCTAATGCTAATTAATAATAATAATAATAATAATAATAATAATAATAATAATAATAATAATAATAATAATAATAATAATAATTTATTTTATATATATATATATTTTATTAATTTTATATATAAAATTTTATAAAACAATTCACTTTTAAAAGTTTGCTTTTCAATTATATCTGATAAAGACACTTTAATCTCTCAATTAATTCCTACAACGAAATAATAATAATATTATTATTATTATTATTATAATTTACTTATAATTTATTTGTGATCATAATCAGTCACACACACACATATATACACATACTAGTTAGGTATTTTGTATGAAAAATTTAATAGGATTATACGATTAACGAGGTATGATTGATAAAAAGGATATTTTGATAATAAAAAGTAAAATTTGTGATCGACATGCTTACATATTTAATACTCGTGCACGAATGCAAGTTTTGTTTTTTTTTTTTTTTTTTTAAACTCGTATATGTGGGTTACATATATTGAATATAATTTTATTCGGGCCACGTGCAGAAGAAAATGCGTGCTTCATTAGTCACGATACGTCGAACCGTAAACGGCCGGATCCGCTTATTAACGCTCGTATTTAAATGCATTTCGTTGCGGACCGTCGCGAATCGCGCTCAATTTTATTATTACGAATAATAATAAAGAAGATGGAGGACTAGTAATAGTAGTAGTAGTAGTAATAGTAGTAATAGTTATAAATGCAACACTGTGTGATAAACGATAATCAAACGGTGTTAGATTTTCTAGCGGGGGGTTTTTTTTTTTAAATTATACTCAAGCAAACTTTGATACACCATGCACCATAATTGTCCCATAATCATAACGTCACGCCTAAATAAACTGCTCTTTTCATTTCTACCTTGTCAATCTTTGCTATTTCAAACTTTTACTCGTAAAAAAAAAAAAAAAAACATCATCTTATAAATAATTTCTTGATAATAAGCCATTTTACAAATAGAAATTTTTCTAATACTTATTTTTACAGCTGCACTCAATCACATTTTTCATATTTCATTTGTTTTATTTATACAAATCGAATGAAAAAATTTTTTCAATTTATTTTTTACTACTCTACAAAACGTACCACATCGTTGAATAATAATAATAGATCGTTGCAAGAACAATTTCCGACCTTGCTTTTTATTATTATTTGCATTTTACTTTTTTTTTATTACTTTTTGTCAATGTTCTTTGTCAAATGAATTAAACCTCGACGTGTCATCCTTCTTTAAACGCTTGGTACTTTTTTTTTTTCCCCCTTTTCACGTCGGCTACGTATCTCACCCAGATGTCAATAAAACGCGTTGGAATCCCATTATCTCGGTTGGACGCGAATTAATTTCTCGTCGTATCTCGTTTGAGAGCCAATTTTTCATGGGACACCCTGTGTTACTTCTTCTTTTTCTTCTTCTTTTTGTTATTTTAGGGTGAAAGAAATTATCATCGTGCGTGATTTTGATATCATTGAAAAATTGTATAATATTATTAATATAATATAATAATATAATATAATAAGTTCTTCGTTAATTTCGTTCGTCTGGTTTATGATCGATCCTAAGTATATCTAAAGTTGTTGACACCCGTTCAAAAGTTTTATCCCTGATGACCAAAGTTCCAGTACTAGGCCTATTCTCAACTCTATCGGTTACCATATAATTGGTTATTATGGAATGTCTGTTCATTGTCCCCTAACAAAGAAATATCGTCCGCGTATGTCAAGAATTGTGTTGTCCTGTTCAACTGTAGACAATCTTTACTTTACTGCAGTTCTTATGAAATCACATATTTAACATTTATATTGTTATTTTGTTACAGCACGCAAACAATGTGAGAAAATCAGCAGCCGAATACGTGGCACGAAGACAAGCGAGAAAAATTAGTATGACACGTTCAATAACGTCATCATTGGCATTACCAATGTCTCAATTAAGCGACGTAGCATTTCTGCCAAATGCAAAAGCCGGAACATTTTTTGCACGGGACAACGTATCGAATTTTATCGGTTGGTGCCGTAACAGTCTTGGTATCATCGAGTGTTTGTTATTTGAAACGGATGATCTGATAATGCGTAAAAACGAGAGACACGTTATATTGTGTTTATTGGAAGTAGCGAGACGTGGGGCAAAATTTGGCATGTTGGCACCAATGTTGGTACAAATGGAAAGACAAATTGATCGTGAAATCGCTGCTGAGAATAAAGCTGCCAATGGTACCCAAACTAATGGTCATTCGAACGAGGACAGTGATGACGAGTATGCTGATATGCATCAGGAAGAACCTTGTCTTATTTACGGTCCACAACCACAGATTGTTACCAATGATCTCAAAAGTCTCGATGAGATGGTAAGTAGTTTTTTTTTTTTATTTGCAATCATTGCTTTGCTTATACTAATGCATGGATCTAACTATTTGTTGTGGTTATTATGTAATTGTAAGAAGTATACAAACAATTGGAGATTTATTAATTACAATTTATTATTGGGATATAATACAATAATTTTTTAATATAAAATTATTCCAAAATTATTTATATTGCAATAATACATTTTGGTTAATTGTTTTTTTTTTTTTTTTACAAATTTTATCAAATATTTTTACGAATATGTTTTATTATTCTTTTTTTTTTTATAATAAGTTGGAAATATAAAACAGGGATATAAATGCATTAATCGTAAAACCTAGAACTCCATGCAAATACGATAAATCATTTTGATATTATCATTTTTTTTCGTCAAAACTAACACTGCACTAATACACACACACACTCACACATGATCAAAAACGAACAAAATAAATTGCTCATAAAAAGTAGAAATACGAGCAACTATAAAATCCATTTTTCTCTTCATATGCTTTTTTTTTTTGCAATGCTTCTTTGTTTGCTTTTAATTTGTTTTGTTTTTGTTTTTTTTGTTTTTGATAAAAAAGACATCACTGTATTCTCGACTGGTGAAAATAACTCTTGTGCCCTTACAAGCGTATCGGAGTTATATTTATGGCGTTGCATCGCAGTTTGCCATTAATATCTCGAGATCGAGAATAAGAGAGAAAGAGAAAGATAGAGATAGAGAGAGAGAGAGAGAGAGAGAGAGAGAGAAAGAGAGAGAGGACGTTTATACTCGTGTTTCTTTTTAACGTTGAATACCGACGTGGGAGATGAGTGTGGAATAAGGAGAAAGGGATGGCTGTTTTTAAACAACAACCAACCCTTTTCCTACTGGGTATCCGTTAACGAGTCTTTTACTCCCTTTTGTCCTACCAACTTTGTATCTACAACCATTCACCGATACTTTATTTTTCTAATAGTTTTAAAACGTCTACGAGTTTTCATCGTTTCACGTACGATTTGTTCCAATTTTGATTACCCCTTTTTTTCTTTCATTTTTTTAACCGACTTCTAAAAAGGAGGAGGTTCTCCATTCGACTGTATTTTTCTTTTTATGTTTGTTATTTCAATGAAAATTCAGTAGTAAGTAGTAAAAATCAAACATCATCAACTCAATCATCGGTTGTTACAGACATTTATTATTCGAATTTATTATTCGTTGCAAATGTTATCAATTTTCACGATTTGTTCAATTTTTATTCCCCCATTTTTCTTTAATTTTGTTTTTTTTTTGTTTTTTAATGAAAATGCTCACAGTAGTAAAAATCAAGTACCAAGTCAATCATCGGTTGTTACAGACATTTCGAATCGATTATTCGTTCTAAATCTTATTGATTTTCCCGTATATCGAGTTCAATGATTTACGATCTATTAATTTGCAATAAATTTTCTTTTATCGTTTACTATCGTATCGTATCGTATCGTATTGTACCGTATTGTATCGTACACGTGTAGGTACACGTACGATTTTATTTATACGTTTAAAGTTGATTTTTACGACACACGTTGTTAGTTTTCTCGTCACGGGTGTCCCATAAACGAATAGAAAAAAATCTAACGATAACTTCATCTCCCTCTCTCTCTCTCTCTCTTTCTATTTTTATTATGGGGTGTGTTAGAAGATTGAAGAAAATTTCAAAAACAATCGTATCGAAAATATCGGACGTTTATTTGAAGCCAACGGCTAGCACGACGACACCATCGTTAAACGTCGATTAACTACAGTCAGGTTTGCAACCGACTGAAAAAAATTTCCCTACAATCGTCGACAGATCTAGGAATATTTATCTGTGTGTTGTGTTAAGTTTAAGGGTGGGAAAAAAAAGAAGGGGTGTTGAATGTTTGCATTCTTTTTTTTTTTTTTGAGACAAACACGCGTTCCTACGAACGAGATACACGCGCGTACAATATAACGACGATTTATATTACAGAAATATAAATGTGTGTATGTGTGTATGTAAGTGTATAGAGTGAGAGGGTAAATAAACGCAAACGACATTTCACCAAGCAAAAATTCTTTCAACTCTATGGGGGTTTGTCGTCTATAAAAATGCATTATCCATCTCACATCTTTTCTACATTCTTCCTTTTTTTTTTTTTTTTATTTTACTTTTATTTTTAATGTAGAAAAATTTGAACCAATCGCGACATTCCAACATCTTCTTCTTCTTTTAAGTTCTTCTTTTAGTTCTACTTTTTTCATCCCCTTTTTTTTCAATCTTTTCACCCTTATCTTTGGGTTGTTTTAATAGCAACGTGTCACGAGTATTATTACTACTACTACTACTATTGTGTTTTATATCTTAAAGGGTTGATCTTAAGTTTTGCGATGAATTTAAAATTAGAGATGAATTTCAAGATAAATTATTATCTTTAATAATTCTTTTCTTATATTTGTGTGTGTGTGTGTAGAATTGCAAAATTATATATATTATTATATTATATAAATTAATATATAATACAATGTATATTTATTTATAAATTAATATATATATATATATATATATATATATATATATATATATATATATATACGGGTTGGCAACTAAGTTATTACTAATTTTAAAAAGACCACTTATTAATAAAATCTGCAATCATTTATTTACCAAATCAATATATAGATCTAAAACTTTATTAAAAAAAATATTGATTTTCTTGTTACAACATTACCTTAAGAAATTTGTTTATTCAACTAAAAGAGAAAGATGCAAGTAATTAAATATCTTGTTTTAATATTCCAAAGATAAATATTCTTTAGATAATATAATTATTTGATCGTGTTCGTATGTTTGCATTTATTTAGTAGCTTTCTAATACTTGAGATATTAATTATCGGAAAAGTTGCATAGAAACGTTTAGTTTGAATACATGCGCATAGATATTTTTAATCTATGCTAGTCACGTTAATTTCATAAGTGCAACATCAACTTGTTCGTTCGTCAACACCCTCAAAACGATTTCTCTTTCTTTATTTTTCTTCATTATTCTTTATCTCTTTTTTATTTTTCTTCTTCTTTACGTAGTATCTCATATGGTACTTGGTGTCTCGAGTTGAGTACAACTCGGTTGAGAGTTACAACTAAAGAGTGAGAGAGAGTGAGAGAGAGAGAGAGAGAGAGAGAAATTCAAACTCAACGTGACTGAACTTTTTGCATAGTTTTTGTTTTTGTTTTTGTTTTTTGAATAACTCTCTTGAAAAATATCGATTTGTGTTTATCATAAAAATATCGTGTTTTTATATTATATAATCTTAATGATTATATTAATTAATTTTATTATTAATATTTTAATATTTTTGTGGCAATGAACTTTCGAGTTGTTAATGCCAATTAATAATAATTAATATTTTATTAATTAAATTTAAAATTTATGAATTTATAATTATAAATAATAATTTAATATATTATAATAAATTATTTTAATTATTTCATAATAAATTAGAATTTATTAATTATTTTATTAATTAAATTTTTTATTAATTATTTTAATATATAATATTTAATATTTATTAATATTTTTAATTTAATTATTA